TAGACTATCCAGAACATGATAAATGTATGTGCAATCTCTTTAGCAGAAAAGAATGGTTTGTAGCAATCTTGCAGCCTCAGTGAAACAATCCAATCTGTCTGCCTCATGATGTCATCGCCAGAAGCCAAATAGTACTGTTTTTGTTTTAATGGGAGAGCTCTTTCATGTTGCTGGTTTGACATGATGGGAATGTAGTTGCAAATGCTTCCTGTTCATTCATAGGCCTCAGGCTTTCCATCCATTTCATTTTAGATATGACAGCTGAAACCAATTAGGTAGAACTATGGGAAAGCTAAGTCACATACAGATTTATCATAGCTAAGGAAAGAGCTATGAGCATATTTCATTGGAAATATGTGTAAGAGATAAAGAAAGAATGCTGAATAAGAAGGAGGTAGATACAAGTTTCAAAATTAACATTTGTTCCTGAAGTTCAAAATGATTACTATATAAATATAGACACCTGCATTTGTAGGTCTGTATGAATGTTAATCAGATCTATAGCAGCAATAGAAACTCACAAGCCAGGTGGGCGCGGCTGAATGGGCATGAACATCTGAGTATAGCCAGGTGGGCATGGCTAGGTCAGCATGGAGAACTAGGTACAGCCAGCTCAGCATAGAAAACTCAGGGCAGCTGGGTGGGGATGACCACCTGCATGGAGCAACGTGAGTATGACTGGGTGGGTGTCACCAGGTGCGTGTGGCCAGGATGCAGAGCTAACTCGGTATCCCACCAGAAGAAAAATCACCCAGAGATGTATCAGCAAACGGGAAGTGGCAAAGTTGGAAAGAAAAGGAAAGGTGAGGGTGGATTTCCCAACCCCATTTGCAGAAACGCTCTGTTTTTTATTCTCCAGCCCCCCATTTCTGAGGAGAGGTTTCCCTGCAAAGTCTGCAAGGAAAGGAAAGGAGAGAAATGCATCATTGTAACATATTTTAATATCTCACTGTATAGTACTTCAATATATTTCTTCCATTTTCATTTGATCTCCTTTAAATTGCTTACTATTTGTCCATTGGTGTATTTTTTAGTCCTTTAAGGTTATAATCTCCTAATGCTTCTTGTGTCTTCCAACATCTCCCTGAAACTCTTTGTTATATTCCTTTTTGAAATTTTTGTCCTTCGGGCTTTGGCTTCTTTTTACTTCTTGGCAATTTCTGTGGTTCTTCTGATAACCAGTTTGCTTCTTTTTTTCTCGGTAATTTGTTTTCACAGACATCCTTAATTACTTATTTAACTTCATTCCATAATTCCCATGGTTCTTTATTAATGAGGGTCAGGACTTCAAAATGATTTCTAGTGTTCTACTAGAAAATGGTGGGCATATGTTCAGGATCATATTGTGGAAGCTTGACTGGCTTTTTCTTAGCTTAACTTGGAACTTGCACTGATCTGTTCAACAGTCAGCATCTGACTAATGTCTTTGATGCTAAAGTGGAGGGTCTCCACCCACAGTCAATTTGATTTCAATATATTTGATCTTTTGATGTCTGTGTATCGAGGTATCATTTTGATTGTTTAAAGACATTGGCAGTTATGAAGAAATCTTTGGAATGGCAAAAAGTGACAAGTTGATTTCCTACTTATTTTTGGTTTAATAAACCATATAGTCCAACTACATTTTCTCCGTTCATGTTTCTAACTTTGGCATTCCAGTTTTTAATCATAAGAAGCACATCTTGCATGCATATTCTGTAAATTTCAAATTAAATTTGATCATAAAATCAATCAACTGCATCTACCCTATTCTAAAACATAGAATAACAGCCAAATTTCAAGGTTGTCCACCTTGCAAGATAATATTTTAAAATAAAAAAGTTCATTTCATTATATTTATGATGTGGCTTGATTGATATGGGATTAAAATATATAGGATGGAGTTGGAGTTAGGAAAACGGAAGAGAAGGCAATGCAATAATTCAAATGAGGGTTCCAAGGGAGACAAATTACAACCTTGTTATCTATTAACAATTTTAAGATATTAAAAAAGTTATTGAATTTTTTTAGGATTTCTAAGATTGCCTGAAAACTCTTGATGTGAGTTTAACTGTCTCATGTCCAATTGTGCTGGCAAAATTAGGCCCATGTATCACAGTAGAGGAAGAGGGTGTAAAGGGACCTCTAACCTTGTGTGTGAAATTGTTTAGGCCCATGCCTGTCTTGTGTAAATGTGGGCTAATAATAATAATAGAGTTGGAAGGGACCTTGGAGGTCCTCTAGTCCAACCCCCTGCTCAGGCAGGAAACCCTATACCATTTCAGACAAATGGTTGTCCAGTCTCTTCTTAAAACTTCCAGTGTTTGGTTAATTTGATAAATATGTTGTTCGTGTTCTTATTTACTGGAACTTTTACGCCACTCCAATGCATGTTTGATGAGCCATGGTTTTTTATACTTTATTCATGTGTGCTCCTTTTTCTCTTAAAATAGAATCAACGTTGATTTTATAATGTACCTTATTTTAATATTCCAGCTGATTAAAAATAAATAGTACATGTCTGAACCTGTATACAATTACACTTTGCAGATCTCAGAGTCTACTTTCCAAGTTTCTATCAAACAACTTTAATGTATTAAAACACCAGTTGTGTTTGTTGAGATATGGCCTGAAACTCTTTTGAGTGAGTTCAACGGTATCTTTTACAGATTATGTTTGTTAATTTATAAAATATAAGTATCTTATCTGCATCTTCACAACTTACCTTGCATGCCATTTGCATTTGTGTGACCACATTCTCCTCATTTCCCCTACCTTTTTCCCTTTACTTCATCCCAGTTTGAATAATAGATTCAGTATAACTATTCCGTACATCTCACAAAGTGAGCTACATTTCATGAAATCTTATATTTTTAATAAAATACGTTAGTCTGAAAAGATGCTGCCAGACTCCTGATCACTGGAATACATGTGACTCATCATATAGTACACTGGTATGCTAATAATCTTTGAAATATTTTTTCTCCATTTATTTAATGTTATTATTTTTAAAAAAGAGTAGACAAAAGTATACTACTTCTTTGTTAAAATTCTATACATTGGAAAATCTTAAAAAAACTTATTAACATCTTTAAATTAGTTGTATAAATTAGCTCTCATATATTTTTTCATTTCTGTGACATTGCTTAGGTATATGTATGTGTGTGTGTGTGTCTGTGTGTGTATAGGCAAATTAAAAGTATGGCTGCAACTGCTACTGATTAAACTGCAAAAGAAAAATAGAGAGGAATACTAGGACATAAATATTTGATGAAAGACACAATTCTCCTATCTCTCAAATGTTAAAAGAAATTTCTGAACTGTGACTTTTCATGATGGAAGACTGTCCTAAGGCAATCTATGGAGATTGTCATACTCTTACTTTTTAAAAAAAAAAGAAAAGAAAGAAAAAAGAAAACGAAAGGTTTTCTGTACTCTGAAAAAAGCAAGCACACAATGCAGTAATGATTTGATGATAGTGTAATGTACGGTATTTCCTGTAAAAAGGAACTAATAAAGCATTGCATTTAGTAATAGTACTCATATAGGACCGAAGAAGAATGGGAAAAAAAGTTCTTTATTATTCATCCTTTATGTTTTGCTGCATTCTCCAGCCCAGGAGATGGAGAATCCACCAATGGGTTTTCTCTGTCTGTCTGCTCTCATATAGGACTGAAGAAGAATGGGAATCATCCTTTATGTTTTGCTGCAGTTTCAAGCAGTTTACACTGCAAACTCTTATTCAGTAATATGGCCTGAAGTCTTGTTAATCCATTGTGCAAAAGACACCAATCTTTTGCCAGCATTGAAGCAGACATTGCATACTGTATATTTCCAACTGTTTTAAAAGCACAGGTGACTCTCTCCTATCCATCCTTTGTAGCTGTGCTCATATCTGTAGTTCCTAATGGTCATTTCTGCAGGAGAGAATATATCCCAGCTACTGTATTCTTAATGAAGTCTGCCTTAAGCAAATTTTGTATTATAAAAGTAACTGCTACTAAAGTAAAGCTGGGCGGCTAAATATTAAATGTCTAATCCTGTAACAGTCACTACTGCTTCACTTAAAGTGTTTAAGTGGTATACTTAAACTGTTCATTTGTTTTGTTTCGTAGCGCAAGAAGATGGCTTAAAACAGAGGTCCCCAACCTTTTGGGCACCAGGGACCAGTTACATGGAGATAGGTTTTTCTGCAGAATGGAGAGGGTGTGGTTTTGTGTGCTGCTTGCATCCTGTGGATGGAGCTTTCCTTGTTTGTGTGGACTGGTTGCTGGCGTGCTGCGGCCCAGTACTGGTCCACGGACTGGGGGTTGGGGACCCCTCGCTTAAAACATATTCAACAGAATAAATGGTAGTTTCTGCATTCCAGTGTATCACAAAAATTAAATAAATAATGTACTTAGCAAGAGTAACTGGAAGTTTTTTTTTTTAAATGCAGGTTAGCATTATGCTTTATGTACCTATAATAATATTGTGAAGCAAATTTATGTTTCTTGGAATGAATTGTTGTTCTAACAGTCAGAAAATTTCTCTTTAATTCTAGGTTGGTTTTTTCCTTGATTAGTTTCCATCCATTGCTTCTTGTCCTGCCTTCAAGTGCTTTGGATAATATGTTGACGTCCTCTTTTTTGTGGCAGTACCTTTGAACTTTTGAAACAATCCTATTAAAACTTTCTTAATTCTATCAAAATGTTTATTACTTGTTTGGTCATGATTTATGCATATTGTAAGAATGCTTATTTATTATTTAACCATCTTGGATTATACCTTAAATTGTTTGAGACTCTAGTCTTTGTATTATGATATTACAGATAGAAGAAAATGATATGCAAATATATTGATCATATATTAAAGAGCCTGATGGTGGTATAAATATGGCACTATTTAAACTATACTTACATTTTACTTATTTTTCATTTGTTATATCCAGAAGAATATCTAATAGTAGCTTTCAAATAGAAGTATACAGATTTGTTTAAAAAAGACATTGAAAAATAGTTTATTTCCTTTCTGTTTTCAAGCACACAGATTTATGTCAGTACATGGACAAACATCCTGGAGGACTTCATCCAGATAATGTGAAGGTAGGATACTACTTTTCAGATAAATATTATGTTACTGTCTTAACAGTGAGAAATAATATATTGTTAATTTAAGTATATTAATTCTAACCTGCTGAAAGCAACCAGTCACTATTAGCAGCTGCAAGATTGGGGCAGATGATGCTGTATATATTATGGTGTCATTGGGCAAATGTTGTAAATTATGTACTATAGGTTATTTACATCATAATATGATTATGAAATGTAATTCACATCCTTTGCATGATGATATTATGATAGGAAGTAATTTGCTGTCCCCTGCAGCTGCTCACTTGAGCCAATGAATAATGTAATTATAAACAGGTTTTTTAATGATTAGATCGATTCAATAAATAAACATCATTTTTAATTATACTGAGGATTTTTTTTAAAGTAGGACCATAACAACTACCCGTTTATTTCTTTATTTAGAGAAGATTTGAGAATATAAGATTTCCATGTAAGTAGACAGATTTGCCGTCCACTTACATGGAAATCAGCCAAATTATTTTAGCATAAATGGAGAATCAATTAAACATACAGCAGCATATGTTTCAAAACCCATCATATACTATTTGTACAAATATAATATCCCTTTATGCTTTTCATCAACAAACATCTCAGAAATGCTATAGATCATATGGCATATGCTGCAATTTTTTATGTGAGATTGCAATTTAAATTTCTCCTAAAAAATTAAATGATCACAAAGAAGCCTGCCAAAACATCCAGATAATCTTCTGGTATTTTGCCCACCCTTTAGAAGGGCTGGATCACTCTGAAAAACTGATGGACAGGATGCAGTAAGGGTAGAACAGATGCACACTTCACCACTCCTAGTGCCATTGTATAGGTCCAAGTGCAGGGATATATCAGTCCTCATTTTTTATCCCTTTCCACTCTCATTTGAGGCAACATTTCACTTGCTTCATTCTTGAAACTCCCTATGTCCAAGCTTGATATACTATGCTCACATACTTTCATTTATATACTTCACATATTCATATCAAAGTTAAGTTCAATTATCCATATGAAAGTCACTTTCCATTGTGTAATCAGTTGTACTTAATATTTGACTTAGAATCTTTCTTATATTACCTTCTTTTATACAATAGAGAAAGGAGAGAAAGTATCTACATTGTACCCTGTTATAACTATGATTATAACCCTATATTGAGAAAAAGATTTGATCTTGTCCTTTGCTGCTGAACCACAATTCTATTTCATATAGTTAAAAAAAAGTTTCCTAGTAATGTAAGGAAGAGAAACTATGTTTTCCTGTTACATGGGAAATAAACCAGAATGTTTAGTTTGGATTGATATGTTTCCACTAGTAAAGATAGACAAATATGGAGAGAACATATCTTACAGAAATATGTCAAATGGTGCTTTTGTGGAAAAGTATCTGTGGAGGAGAGGATCAGAGTTCATAATCACTTAAAAGTTTACAAAACCATTGCTGTTTATTTATTCCTCTGTTATGACAAATACAGAACAGAATATAATAGAGTAGAATATTAGCTAAATAAATGATTTCAAGGTGCATTTATTCAGTCTAAAACTGCAGAACTTGGCAAACTGAATCACAGTTAAAAATATAGAAACCTTTGCAAATCTTTGTAAGAAGAGAGCTGTCTAGGGTGATGAGGCAGTGGGGTTTGGGATGGCTGATACTGGATGGGAGAAGGCATGTTAGTGCGTGTGATTAGCAGGGGAGGTGTGAGCATGGCAGGACCTGTGGTGTCTGCTACCAGGTAGAAGGGGGTGTGCAAGGCACCAATGGCAAGAACCACAAATGAGTCAGGGCTTGCAATGACTGCTGCCAGATGAGAATGGATGCACAAGTATACACAGGTTGCAGGGAGCATGACTATGGCAGGGTTTGGGGTGGCTGCTAACCAGGTGGAAGAGAATATGCAAGAATGTTCGAGTGGCAGGAGAAGCATGGCACAAGAACAGAAGGGTTGCTGCTCAGTGACAGAGTGTGCAAGAAGCAGAGGGCACAGAGCGTGGACAAGTGTTGTGGGGCTTGGGGTGGGAGAATGTACGAGAGAGGAGGCATGGGTGGCTGGGGAGGCACAGCATGAGTGCAATGAGATGCAGAGAGAGAGTATGGGTGCAGGAGACTTATCCAAGCAACTTGTAATCTTCCCTGCCAATTCCCTTGTTCACTCTGTGAAACCAGCAGGGGGATCACACATTGCAGCCATGTGACCATGGGATAGCTGGATGCAACTATCTAGATTGCAATTACCTGACTGCAGGGGTGCTGTGATGATTGGAACTTTGAGTATTGGTCATAACCACTACTCCTTTAGTGCCATCATAACATTGAATGGTCACTGAGTGAGTGGTTGTAACCAAGGACTACCTATAATATTTGACAGAATTGTAATAGAAGTTCATACAACTGTCAGGCTGTAGTATGTGCCTCTGGGTGCATGTGTTCCCTGTCTTTTCACATACCTTCACAATATGGCGTGCCACAAGCAATAATATAAACTTAAAAATAACTCCAAGCAGGCAAGATAAGTGGCCTGATATAAGGAAAACAGCTGATATGTATTTGAACTGTGAGCAGTATGTGTTACAGAACAAATAGACTTTGATTGTTGTGCTACCTATAAAAAGATTTTTTTTACAGTTTTGTAGCTACTAAAATTCATTTATTCTATGTATTTCCGCCAACATTAATTAACAGTTACATGAATAATTGTAGCTTATGACCAATTTAGATATTAACAAAGTCACTCCTTTGTATTCTTATAAATATTTATATTTTAAAAGCATAAGTAATTATGTTTGAAATTACCCCAAAACAATATGGTGTTAAAAAGTCTTCAGAAGATGTATGCAATTTATTAACCTTTATTAGGCATATTTTTTCTTTAAAAATAAAGATGTAAACATTTGAAATATGCTTATGAAAGTGCACACAAAGCATATTCCCAAATATTATTTTCCAAAATATCTAATTGCTTACAATAATGCATTAATAGACAGTGTGTGTGGATGTATGCTTATCTATTTAATATATTTTCTAAGATAAATATTTAAATTGTAAATAAAAGGAATACTTTCCAAAATTTTTCTAATGTATGTTCAAGTACTATTTTGCAAGACAATAAACGAAGCAAGACTTAATTCCAAACAATAAAACATTAATATTTTATGACCCATTGGAAAACCTGAATTGTCTTGCATAAAAAAGTATTTGGAAGATATTTATTGGTTTTATTAACATATTTTTATATTGTCCATTCTCAGAACTCTACCATAAAACTTTTTAAATAAAGTTTATTTATTTATTTATTTATTTTACAAAATTTATATGCCGCCCTTCTCCCCATGGGACTCAGGGCGGCTCACAGCATGTTAAAACAATATACAGAATTACCCCTTCTAAAAACCAATTAAAATCCAAATATTAGTGGCTGTGACTATTTAAAATCATTAAAAATTATCCCTATTTAAAATTCACCC